CCCTCTCTCCCATCTCTCTCTGACTCTCTGGGGAGCACAGGTGCCCTATATCAAAAATTTCTTCCCAAATGAACAAACAATAGCAATCTGTGCTCAGGACCAGCAGGTGGTGTGGTGGTTAGGCATGCTAGACTCCCACATGGCTGACTGGGGTTCGAGTCCTGGACCTGGTGGCTTGCTTTCTCACTCCCCCTTCACTTTATCCCTCTCTGATCAAATTAAAATAAATAATAAAAATAAATAAAATTTGATAACCTCTTTAAAAGGGTGTCTGGTTAAGGATACGATAAGGAGACATAGCTCATTAAATCATCGTGTTTTCCATAACAAACTTCTCAAAATATATAAAATATCTATACACAGATCTATATAGATACCTGTGCGTGTTGTGTATCTGCCATTACGCTAACTACTGGTCCCACAAAATAATCCTTTAAAAAACAAAAAGCAACCTGTGCTGGGAACCAGCAGTTAGCGTAATGGCTATGTCACTGGACTCCCACGTAGTCGACTGTGGTTTGCGTCCCGGACCCAGTGGCTTAGAACTCACGCTGGGTTCATGTGCGTGCGTGCCCAAGATCCCAAGAGGAGAATGGAGGAGAAGGGATTGCAACGTGACCATACTCCCTGGGGGGTGATTTCTCGCTTTCTGTCTCTCTGTCTCTCTCTGTCTGTCTGGTGAGCACACACGCCCTACAGCAGAAAAAAAAAAAAAAAAAGCAAGCAACCTGTGCTCAGAGGTTGTGAATGCTTCATGCCACGGGCCTCCTGGTGAGCTGGCGATATCTAGGCTATTTAAGGCTCTGAGAAGTCCTGGGGCAAGAAACCCTTTCTGTGGTATTTAATCTGAATGTCCTGACTTTACTTGGCCACAGAGCCCTTTCTGTATTTGACACTCGTGTCTGTCCTGAGAAACCGTCACTTTAGGGACTGTACTTCTGGAGAGCCACCTATGCCACTCTCTGGCTAGGTGGGGAGGACGTGATGTGGGGACCATGACCGAAAGCCACAGGGAGTTAACTTGTGCCGGATGACCACGGCAGGGACGAAGGGGGAGCACCCAGGACAGAAGGACTGACAGACTCTGCTGCGGGGCTCAGAAATGGTCGGAGACTCCGCTCTACAGAACGCTCGCCCCGGGGCGTGTGGCTCTGCACAGGCAGCAAACCCTTGACACGCGTGGGGCACCGACAAGTCTAGGACAAACCACTCGAAGAGGGTGGGAGCAAGCCACTGGTACCTTCTATTTCCGCTGCAAGAAACTCATCGAGGCACGTCTTCAATATGAGATTGCGAGCTTTCCTCTTCCAAGCAGACCCTGGCTCTCTACTTCTCTACTTCCTGAGTTTGGGACCGCAGGTCCTGGCGGTTTGCTCAGGTAGCCCACACGTGTGATGCGCCAGGCGCTGGGACACCTGCTCTCACGTGATCCTCGTGAGAAGGGCTCCCTGGGGGGCTGGAGGGGCCTGGGGTAGAAACTGGGTCTCTCCTCTCTTCATGCCTTCCCACCCCAGACTCCAAACGATTCTTTGTAGGGACAGCCCTTGTCTCAAATATCCTATCACCCTCCCCAGACCATCCGCAAATCCCAGAAATTGGCCCAGCCCCACAGCACAGTGGTTAAAGCACTAGGGCAGAGGGAGTCAGACTCCACATGGCCGTCCGCAGTTCAGATCCCAGCCTGGTGGTTTGCACAGCATGACAAGCATGTCCATGCAGACCTGGGACACAGATGGGAGGAAGGGCGGGGAAAAGGCCTGCGGCATGGCCAGGCCCCACTTGGAAGCACTTTCTCTCACACTCTCTCTCTCTAGAAATCACACGTGCCCTGTGACAATTAAAAAAAAGAAAGAGAATCTCAGAAATTATACTTTCTGATCCAATCACCTATTCCTCCTAGAAGAGGCACAAAACTATCATTTCAATTTAGATGACAAGATTTTCAGAAAACCTTTAATGATTATTTGGAAAAGATAAACATGGCATTAGAATATGCTAAATAGCTTTTGCCCCTCAGATCATGACAAATACACACAATTCAAACACGAGCTGTTCTGTTGGGGTAAGAGAAAACCTTGCTGAGGCAACCTAGCATCCAGGGGCCCCATGGCTGCGAGTGTAGGCCACAGGGCACTGGACGGCACACCCCTCCCGGGGGCACACGGATGCCGAGTCTACAGTGCCGACACCACTTCGTCTTGGCCTCGGGCGCCGTTTCTACTTCTCTGTCGACGCATGGTCCAGTCTGAAGCCTGGAGGAAACAGGTTCTCCTCCAGAGTGACACCGTCCTTGGAAAGCACGTCTCCGTGCCCGTCCCGCTCCTTCCCTGCCTGTGCTCGGTGTCAGTCTCGCGGAGCCCCTCTGCCTGCTGTGAGACCCGCTGAGCGCCGAGGCTGCCTCTAGAGCGTGCCTGCCTCAGCAAGTTTCAGACACTAACTGCTGCACTGCACGTGTGGGCAGGGGGGGCCTGACACTACCTCCGCTGCTCTCACTGGTGATCCCGCCCACCCCGGTCCCCAGGGGACACCAGGCAGTGTTTGGAGACATTTTTGGTTGTCGCGACCCAGGAGGGGGTGCTACTGGCATCTAGTGGGTGGAGGCCAGAGATGCACAGGATGGCCCCAACACCCCTGGGTGATCTGATGCAAAGGATCAGTAGTGCCGAGGTTGAGAAATCCCGCATTAAATTAACAGAAAGCACAACGACAATGATACACGAATGTTGTTGTTAGACCTGCCGGCAACAGTAGAATAATCCAGATACCCCGGCCGGTCGCTACATCATGAACACTGGTCAGCTAGTGCCAAGAGCGGCTTCCAGGTCTCGCGATGAACATGCATAAGCAGGCCACGTGGGAGCAGAGCCTAACGTGGGCATCATCCTGACCAAGGCCACGTGGAAGCAGAGCCTAACATGGGCATCATCCTGACCAAGGCTATGTGGGAGCAGAACCTAACGTGGGCATCATCCTGACCGAGACCACGTGGGAGCAGAGCCTAACGTGGGCATCATCCTGACCAAGGCCACGTGGAAGCAGAACCTAACATGGGCATCATCCTGACCAAGGCCACGTGGGAGCAGAGCCTAACGTGGGCATCATCCTGACCAAGGCCATGTGCGAACAGAGCCTAACGTGGGCATCATCCTGACTGAGGCCACGTGGGAGGAAAGCCTAACATGGCCATCATCCTGACCAAGGCTATGTGGGAGCAGAACCTAACGTGGGCATCATCCTGACCGAGGCCACGTGGGAGCAGAGCCTAACGTGGCTGTCATCCTGACCGAGGCCACATGGGAGCAGAGCCTAACGTGGGCATCATCCTGACCGAGGCCACGTGGGAGCAGAGCCTAACGTGGCTGTCATCCTGACCGAGGCCACATGGGAGCAGAGCCTAACGTGGGCATCATCCTGACCGAGGCCACGTGGGAGCAGAGCCTAACGTGGCTGTCATCCTGACCGAGGCCACATGGGAGCAGAGCCTAACGTGGGCATCATCCTGACCAAGGCCACGTGGGAGCAGAGCCTAACATGGGCATCATCCTGACCAAGGCTATGTGGGAGCAGAACCTAACGTGGGCATCATCCTGACCGAGACCACGTGGGAGCAGAGCCTAACGTGGGCATCATCTTGACCAAGGTCACGTGGGAGCAGAGTCTAATGTGGCCATCATCCTGACCGAGGCCACATGGGAGCAGAGCCTAACATGGCCATCATCCTGACCGAGGCCACGTGGGAGCAGAGCCTAACGTGGCTGTCATCCTGACCGAGGCCACATGGGAGCAGAGCCTAAAGTGGCCATCATCCTGACCAAGGCTACCTGGGAGCAGAGCCTAACGTGGTCGTCATCCTGACCGAGGCCACATGGGAGCAGAGCCTAACGTGGGCATCATCCTGACCGAGGCCACATGGGAGCAGAGCCTAACGTGGGCATCATCCTGACCAAGGCTACGTGGGAGCAGAGCCTAACGTGGGCATCATCCTGACAGAGGCCACATGGGAGCAGAGCCTAACGTGGCCGTCATCCTGACCGAGGCCACATGGGAGCAGAGTCTAATGTGGCCATCATCCTGACCGAGGCCACGTGGGAGCAGAGCCTAACGTGGCCGTCATCCTGACCGAGGCCACATGGGAGCAGAGCCTAACGTGGGCGTCATCCTGACCGAGGCTACCTGGGAGCAGAGCCTAACGTGGGCATCATCCTGACCAAGGCTACGTGGGAGCAGAGCCTAACGTGGGCATCATCCTGACCGAGGCAGCCTTTCCTTACCTGAGAGCACAAAACCATGAAGGTGGGCTACTAGAATTCTCTTTTTTTTAAAATGGAAACAGTAAATATTTAAATTATAAAATAAACAGAAGGTACCAGTGGGGAAATTAAGCTGAACGTGAAAGCCGAGGGACAGTGCACACACTGGAATGAGCTCACACACCCAAGGCTGGTCATGTTAATTCCTTGGTAGTGTCCTACGACGTAAGGTCAGTCTACAAGTGGGTACTCCTGCTCCATAACGAACTGCGGCAGTTGGTACCCTCTGTGAGCTATGTGGCAAGGTGTACCCACGCCAACCCACTTTAAGCATCGGACAGTGGATTTCAGGAGATGTAGGCGTATTCGAGAAGGTGATCTCCAAAATAAGACAGACACTAGCTCCCCAAGCAAGACAAGGAGAACTGCTTTAACTGTCTTTTATCATAAACTGGTAGAGATTCCCAAAGATACCACACAGGCCACAGGAAAAGAAAATAACTAATAATTCAAGTGAGAAGCATCTTTATGCAAGAAAAGAAATGGAGGTGCAGGATATGTCAAAAAGCGAGAATGCAGAAAATGCGAACCGCTGCTAACTTTTACTAAATCTTAAAATGGCGAATATCCAATCGAAAGGCATTCCAAATCGCTTGCCACATGGACAAACCCGAAGGCTATTTTTCGTTTCACATGTTCTACTGCAAAATGAATATAAAGTTTTAGAAGTAGGAAAAAAAAAAAACTAACCTTAAGGTTATCAAAGGTTTGGACAGTCTGCGCCAAGTCACTGACACTCCCTGATGATGCTGTCCCCTGTCCCCTAGGGCCTGAGGACACCCGGGAGCTGCCAATGGCCTCAAAGCCAGAAAGCAAGGCCTCTGCACAGCTGCAGTGAGACTCCTTGGCTCTCTGACCCGATATCAGGTATGTCTTCAAACCTATGATGGATAAAAGTTACAATCAGCACAGATGGAAACCACCATTGTTGAAATACAGCTCGATCTTACTCTCTATGGAGGACACACTCCTGAAAAGGTAGAGTAAAGTGAAAATGTGAATATGTCATATTTATAAGTGATTTTCATGTCTTCGCAGAGAGGTAAGGCCTGAGGGGAAACATCAGCCTCCACGACTCACTGGTCAGTCATATCATACCCTCTTGGAATAACAGCTGCAGGGTTTACCTTCAGGGGCTGAAAAGGAGCCTGTGAAAGTTCCTCTGTGAGGGTCACAGGACCTCTCTGGGAGGGTCAACCCTATACGCTGTGTGCGTTTATTCCATCCTGTGAACACCAGTCCCTGACATGTACAACGGTCAGTCTAGATGTAAGGTCAGCTGAGGGCCCCGGCTGTCTTCCCAGGGCCGGGTGAGAGACGGCAGAGACCAGGCAAGGCGGGGTCATCACAGGCACCGACAGCTGAATTTCCCTCGATGTGGATTTGCTAGGCAAGTCTCAGATTTCTGTTGGATCTGAACGTTCATCCCAGGACACTCAACTTTGCCAAGCTTAGGTCTGTGTGCATTTTGCTCTTTCACAAAACCGCCATTAAAAAAAAAAGGGAGGGGGAGACCAGCGAATGGCATAATGGTTATGTCCCTGGACTCCCGCATAGTCGACTGTGGTTCAAGTCCCAGACTTGGCAGCTTAAAACTCACGCTGGGTGCGTGTGCATGCATGCCCAAAATCCCAAGAGGAGAATAGAGAAGAAGGGATTGTGGCATGGCCATCCCCCCCCGGGTGTGGGGGAAGTGTGATTTCTCACTTTCTGTTTCTCTGTCTCTCTAGTGAGCGCATGTACCCTATAGCAAAAATTTCTATTAAATAAAACCCAAAAAAGGGGGCCAGCAGGTGTCCTAGTGGTTAAGCTGCTGGACTCACACACTGTCAACTGTGATTTGAGTCCCAGACCTGGCACCTTGAAATTCTCGCCAGGCGCATGTGTGTGTGTGCCCAAAATCCTGAGAGGAGAATGGAGAAGGGATTGAGCTATGGCCATGCCCCTCGGCGGGTGATTTCTCACTTTCTTTCTCTGTTTCTCTTGTGAGCACATGTGCCCCATAGCAAGAAGCTCTCAAAACCAAAACCAAAGCAAGTTGGTCAAATAGACAATTAGCCTCCACCTGAAGGCTGAAATCATGCTAGCAGAGCACCCTCTACTGTGGAGCAGCTCCTGGGGCAGGTGGGCCCTGCTCTGGGAACGATCTGTGGGAAATAACCAGGAGTGCTGTCCCGGAGAGAGTGTGAGGGACTTTAGAACAAGAAGCAGACCTCATCTGAAGAGCTCCATCACACCCTTACTGGGATTTAACTGGGCTGCAGATTTCCTGGAGCAAGTCATGACATAACCTACCCAGCATTTCTTTCAGGCCCGGTGTATTCTAAATACTGAAAGATCAAGAATAAACTCTGTCCCTTTCTTGCAGAGCTTGAGCTCCTGCAGGTCACCATGAAAGCCACTGGAGGGCATGGCTGGGACGACAGGCGAGAGGCCACACACGCACACCCAAGTCCAGGGCGGTTTCTCCCGGGTACACGCTTCACACGGGCCTCGCAGTTCATTCGATAAGCTAGGGACTGCTCATCAATAACCTTAGTCATTTTATGGCCACACCGCCAACTGCCACTTCATCTTTCCTCATCTTCTCCTTTCCTCCTAAAATCCCATGCGGCATGAGGAGCAGGGTCTTGAGCAAGTTCATGGGAAATGCGTGTTGTGCAAAACTCACGCGTGCATTTCAAGGGTTTATCTGGTACCAAAAAAAACCTTGTATTTTAATTCCAATTTGCATGGACACTTTGAAGTGCCCTCAGTGTTTTTAAATCAACTGTTCTATGGGTATGACGAGGGGCCTGGTGATACCTAAAGGCATCTTAGAGCAGAGCCAAACCGCCGCTGGGGCCCGAAAGGCTGGGGTGAAGACTCAGATGCCAGCTGGCCCAAGGGAGCCCTGTAAACGCCTTCCACACTCAGGTCCTGGCCTCTAGGCGTTGTGTGCACGCCCCCGGGCCTCTGCACGGCCATCACAGGCTCCGCTGCTCACACGTATGAGCCTGTAACAGAAACATGAACTGGAGCGTGACGTCAGAAGCAGAGACCTGTACGCTAGTCCCTTGGCGTGTCACAGGCCACACTGACCAGATTTTGTCATTTTATTTACACTTTGGGAGACAACAAAATGCAAGTCTTGTGCAGAACAGAGGCAAGGGCTGTTTCTGGCCTGTGGGTGTCTGAGCAATAGGGTTGGCTCCTGGCTTTAAGTGTACTTGAGGCCTGTTCCCTGGGAACCGTTCTCCTCTACGACCCCCCGAGGGTGGTGTGAGTCACCAGGGAGAGGGTAATCACAGGGATCTGTGACAGGTGCAGGGAGGACAGACTCGGGCTGTGTGGGAGCCATCGCCTGGAGAGGGCTCTGGACTATGGGCAGGTGTGCCGAGTCCCAGCATGAGGAAGGGTGAGGTGCTCCAGAAAGCACAGGAGAGGGGCGCCCTGCAAAGACTCAGGAGGGAGAGACTCCAGGATGAAGTGCCCCCTGAGCTGAGAGCTGGAAGATGCAGAGGGGCAGCCTAGGCCCAAGGACTAAGATGGTCATCGCCAGGCAGTAGGTGTTATGAGAAAGCCTCTGGCAGACGTGACAGAGGGATAGCACTGGGCTTCATGTGGCCGGCACAGAGAATGTGTGTGGGCACTGGCCAGAGGTGGGCAGCAGGGTGTCCATGCAGGCTGCCACGTGGCCACGCCTGGGAATCCGCACCCTGGGGATGATGGGACACAGCACGGGAAAGAGAAACGAGCAGGGTGCAAGGCTTAGGGCAAGCCAGGGAGCTCACGGAGATGCCAGAGGACATGGTGGCCAGGAAATAGTGGTGGGAATGGGGGGCCCACTCCCCCAGATTCAGTGGCAACAGGCAACACCTTGTTATGGGCAGTCATGTGATGCGAGTCACGGCTTCCCGAGAGGAGCTTTCGGAGCTGGGTTTGGGCTCCTCTGTGCCCCGCTGTAGGACCCGACAAAGTGCCCTTACGGCTCTGCACCCCAGAGCTGATCACGCAGCCTGCATGCTGTCTAGCACGTGGTGAGCGCTCAGTCCTGCCGTCAGGGTGGAGTCTGAACTGCTCAGCACCAGGAGTCGTTTTCCCGCGGCCTCAGTAGACAGCAGTGTTCACGGAGCTGTTAAATCAATAACTGCTCCAAATTTGCTTCTAACGTGAGTCTGTCCGCAGGGAGCTCGGAATGGCCAGTTTGCAGCGGGGATACAATACTGCTGGTGTCACAAGGTCCCCGCCTCACTGTGCACTCACAGCACAAAACCCAGGGAATGTGTACGCCTGAGTACAGACTGCTAAATGTAAAGAAGCCCAGGATGTCTGCTGCACTGGAGCGATGGCATGATGAAGTGAGGCCCCGCTCAGCTACCTGACAGGAACGCCCGAGAAACCTGCAGGCTAGGTTACTGCGTTCAAACCCAGCCCAACACGTAAGAGAATTTATAGGAGATAAGGATTTAATGAATAACCACACACGTGAACCCCAGGCCCAAGTTCATTACAATGGCTCTTTTGGAGCAGAAGGTCAAAATAAGGCAGCTAAATGATTTATTTTGTTAATCGCAGTGTAAACAGGAGAACAATTCATAAGCTTTCTTATTCTTTTCCTTGGTAATTAGTCGTACACCTCACTGATATTGATGCCTTTCACCAGCTTAATTTTTTTATTTTTAGTTTCACGAGAGTGAGAAAGAAAGATAAGCACCCCCCAGTGAGGTCTCACGCTGCAAACCCCCTCCCCAGCCTTTCCAGCCAGCCAGGGTCACAAGCAGGAGCACCCCGCGTGTGCAGTTGGCCAGAGAATGGCGACGTGGGCCATGCTGCCTGAGCAGCGAGCACCCACTGCCCGCCCAGCCTGGCCTTGCAGGCCGCGGAGGAGAGGGTGTTTCCTAGTCTTCGGAGGGACCCCTCTAGGGCTGTGAGTGTAGACATGGTTGACATTCTCAAGTGTGTCAACATTCTCTGAGGACAAAAACTGTGGCCCGCACCACTGGCAATCAGGTTTGGTGAAAGGAGTGTAATCTGAGTGAGTGACAAAGTCCATCTTGAAAGAGAAAGACGATTCTGGCCTCATTGGTTGAGTCTTCTGGATTCTTGCTTTGGAACGAGACTCCCTCACCCAGAATCAAGGACTGCACTGACAATGCAGCAGGAAGAGGAGACCCGTGAAGGAGAGAATGTTTTAAGACACGCCTTTGGGGGTTAACAGCATAGCATAACAAATGCCTGGAAGATTTCACCACTGATGATTTAAAATAATAAGCAAAAGAGAAGCAAGTGACTTGGGGAGCTGATAAACGTTCTAAAAGTGTCTTTCCTTGGCATTGCCTTTCCCCTCACAACTAGATCTGAAACAGCCAAATAGCATGAGAACTATTTAAACAAAAAGGCAACCAGCCCGTAGGGAAACGAAGATTGAAAGTGTTCTTACTCTATCACATAACCAGGGCCTATAAAGTTGTAGATACAATGTGTTATAACTATCTACTGTTTCTGCCTAAGGAAAGCAAAGGTTTTGATTAAAAATAAATAAATAAACATTTTATGCCTGTTAACATTAAGATGCTCTGGATGGGTCTAAGTCTTTTCCACTCCTTTGTTCTAGACCAGCAGATGGCATAATGGTTATGTTGCTGGACTCCTACATGGCCAAGTGCAGATCAAGTCCCGGGTCTGGCGGCTTAAAACTCATGCCAGGCGTGTGTGTGTACGTGCCCAAAATCTCAAGAGGAGAATGGATGAGAAGGGATTGCAGCATGACCACCCCCCCAGGAGGTGATTTCTCACTTTCTGTCTCTGTCTCTCTGGTGAGCGCATGTGTCCTATAGCAAAAATCTCTCTTAAAAAAAAAAAAAAAACGAATAAATGCAAGACAGATTTACCAAGAAAG